CGAGCAGGGACAAAATGTGTAACTCTGAGACAAAAGGGGGAGGAGTGTGGTTGTTTGAGAACGAGGAAAAGGCTGGCCACCGAGCGTTTGCGCGAATATGTCGCGGAACAAACGGATGCGAAACACTGATTTGCGGGGCCGATCTGATGGTCACCATTGCGAGCTGATCATTTGGGTAAATATATGCGTGTTCTACTCGCAAAAATAAAATAAAATCACATGTGTTCTATATTTAGCAGCTTGGCCCGCCCAACAAATCTATTTGTAGCCCCACCGTGCAGTCGGCCATCGTGTCATGTGGCTGCCATGCTTCCCCTGGTGAATTTCCGCACGTTTCATCGCGAGGTCCACGGACAGACTGTGCTGTCCCCCAAAGCGCGGGGCCCACGTGCTCGCCTCGTCGTACCTAGTCCATGACTGCGACTGCGACTGCGACTGGTCCTGCCTGCTTTGATGTCCCCCTCTTTCGTGGCGTCACCTAATCAGTTTTGACTGGCGAGCCCGACAGAGAGAGAGAGAGACAGCGCGGTCAATGGTTGAAGCCGTCTGTACGCATCACACTTTGGTGCTTATTTTAACCGTCTCCCTCCCCGTGATCCACCCCCTTTGGTTAGCCATCGAAAAAGCATTTGATTCATCGTTGCCTTTGATTAGCCTTCGGAGCACCTCGGAATAGCTTCACACACGATATCTGATGGACGACCTGTGGACGATAGTAGGATCTTACGTCCCGTAATCATGCAGGGATTTAATCTAACGGTGATTACCTACCGTCGTGCATGCATCGGCTGCAATATCGTCGGCTGCGTAGCACTGCTCGGAGCACCTAGTCCACTTGATGATTGATTCTTCACTTGATCTGCACGACAGCACGAGACAGCGAAATGCACATGGAGCACGTACGTGCTCGTTCGTTCTGGTCGATTACCATGTGCTCAACTGCTGTTATCCACGATTTGTACGTAGTAGCGACGATGCGTGAGCAACATTTCTTGCACGTTGCACCATTTGGGCCTGCTACATGTTCGCTCGTATTAGTAGGCACAACGTACGTCGTTAGAGGTGTGGACGGACACTAAAATATCATGGCTGAGGGACTACGATACGACTGGTGTTTTATAGGAAAAGGTCTTCCCGGGATCGCTCTCCATGACTCCGTGTCGCGGGCTTTTTCTGCTCCAGGTTCTTCCACTTCCAGGGATCGATCGGTCCGTTACGTCCACCGTCGACTAGTCCGGAATTGCAACTAGGTCCTCAAATTTTAATTTGAGTTCAAATAGTTCGATCGACCAGAAAAAATGAGATCTACAGACACTAGGACTCAGGACATGTTTTTATAAAAGAAGTCCAT